TTCAGGGTAGAAGAAAAAATATAAGAAATCTGCAAGCGAAGAGACCATGTTTTTACCGGTTCTCACAGTCTCTTCGCTTGTGGATTTCTTATATTTTTTCTTCTACCCTGAAAATGGAGGTGATACGTTCCTCCAAAATGTCGGTTAACACCACATATACACGGTGCCAAATCCCAGAAGACTGCTTTCTTCTTAAATTATAGGAATTTCATCATTGACTGGCCTCTGTCCTGAAGTCAGATGATGGGAAGAATATTTTGTTTATTATTTAATGATATGATATGTAAAATATCTTATCCTGTAACAAGTATCTGAACCATGATATATATTTTGAAGTTGTTTTCTAAGTTATCATAATGCACAACACATTTAACCAACAGTTTTCACTGGTATTAAATGGATCTGTAAATCTGAAGATTACAGTTTGTATATCTTTCTGTTATCTGCCACAAAAAACTTAATTATGTGTAGGATTTGAAGCTCTCACAGCTGTGGTGATAAGTTCTGTCTTCCGGAATATAATACCGTGAAGTCTGTTGAAAATCAACCTACGTTTTGGAGAAGCATTTCACCTCTTTCTTCAGGATCGAATTGTGAGCCAATCAGGAAACTATCATGAAGCTCTATTTGCTGCCTGCATCAAGCTTGTTTCCTGCTTGGCTTACTCTCTTGTCCTGAAGATGAAGGTGACATGTTCTCCTAATGTCAGTTGACTTTCACCAGACTAAACAATGTTATAATCCTGGAAGATATAACTTTTAATAATTTTAAATGTTTTGATTAATTGGTGCCATGATAATGAAATTCAGCTTATTTCTCTATTTCAAATTTTGGAGCCATGTATGCCAAATTTGGCTGTAAGATAATACAAAGTATCTAATTTAAGAATAGACTGGTTTCTGTAAGATGTCATGGCAAGCATTCCACGTGACAGTACAGTGGGTCCCAAGCTTCGCAGCCAAATTTTCACCTTAATTATAGCTTGCATTGTTTTATGGCAGGTTCTTGGAATTGCAAGCCTTCTGTTTCTGCACAGATCTTACACTTAGAAGAAGTGTTTCTGCACACATGATGAAGTTCTCTGGAGATAGGTTAAACTTTTCCAGCAACTTTCTTTCTGTTCTAGCAAAGAGTGAGGATATTCACTTAAATTTTACCTTTTAGTTTATTCCAAATAGAAAATTAACACAGATTTAAATCAGGTGAAAATTCTCAATTTGCCCCTCATTAACCAAAAGCCTCACTTAACTGATCCATCAGATTTTTAGAGGAACACTGTTGTGTTAACCTGCATTGAATGCCCATATGTTCCCATTTTTTTTTCCATCACACAGTTAATTAAAGAGGAGGTCTCAGAATGAACCTCATATAATGTTTAGAATTAATTGTTTCTTCATAAAGTATTGGCCTTATTAATCTGCAGGCATTCGGTATGCATCTAACCACACAGTAGACCACAAGTGCACCAATGAGTGATGTCCAGCATCTTAATGGTTTAACAAGGTGACAAGTTTTGTCTTACCATCAATTTTTCATGAGGCCTGTTAACTCTTATTGGACGTCATGTTTGTCAGTGACATGATAGGAGATATTGAACTGATAGTAAGTCTTTCCATGGCCGCGCCATAACTCAAACAGTTAGTCGCTGGCTTCCCACCACAGTGGCCCAAGTTTGATCCCGGTTCTGGTCAGGTGGGATTTTTGGTGGACAAAGTGGCGCTGGGACAGGTTTTCTCTGAGTACTTCGGTTTCCCTTGCCAATCTTCATTCCACCAATTCCTCCAAAATCACCCTCACCTGTCATATCTCGGGCTGGTACAATAGGCCAGAAGTGGCTGCAGTACAAGGGACTTATCCAGTATCCAGTATTGAAGGGGTGGGTTTCCCCATGCACTGCGACTAATAGTCTATTGTACGTTCCCCTTTTTAATTTTTACTGTCTCCATACCCTACCGGTACTGGTGCTCGCTATCAGCCCCTTTCTGCCAGCGAGGTTTCGACCCTCCACTGGCAGTGGTATCTGATAATTAGTCCCTTTCTGTCAGCGAGGTCGGCCCTCCTCTGGCAGCAGTACCTAATACTGTCCCATCTACCGGAGGCATTGGAAACTACTTGGGCGGGAAACTTTTTTTTTTGCCTAATTTAGCTCAGAGGTCTCCTAGAGACATGAGGTTCTTTTACGTGCCGTAAATCTACGACATGGGACACACGGCTTAAAGTCCCTCCCGGAGGACTTGTTCCCTGAATTTTTCCGCCCTTGAAAATTCCATGACCTCCACCGGGTTTGAACCCATGTACCTTGAGTCATGAGGTGGGAACGTTACCCCTAGACTACGGAGGCCGCTTACAAGGGACTTAGTCCCACCCACTAGCAATAAAAAGAAAGTCTTTCCATTGCCCAGTTTTCAAGAGACCCATCTATTATTAAAATGGATTCCTTGCATATGTTAAGTTTATTATTTGTATTCCAACCTCCCTTAGAATTTTTAAATACTCACAATTACTGGTGATTATGAAAGGGAAAAATATGCGTTATTTATTTGTTCCTTAACAGCTATGTGAACTTTTCTACATGTTATTAGGAATATTATCATGATCATTCAGAAAATTATTCCAGGATTTAATAATACTGAAAATTTTGATAAGTGAAAAATTCTCTGCAGCTGTGCTCTACAAATTTATTTTTATTTGTGTTTAATATATGATGTAGGATATGACACTATGTTGTATATTTATAACATGCTAATTTCAATATTTTGCTAGCTTCAGCTTTGACTTATTATATGTAATAGTTCTCTAAAATTTTTCCGTTAGAAAGTGCTATCAAAGACTTCTCAAAAAACAGTTCATATAAAAATAAATATGCTTGTTACAGAAGATGGATACAACAGGCAACGGCCATTGGTTCCTGGTGATTACAGTTACATAGACTTAGAAGACATCTTAGAAGAAGATGATGAAGGTCTTGGTGAGCAGCTGGGTGAGGGGCCAGGTAAACTATCTCTCTGTCTATCCTTTTATATAAGGTATATGACCTACTTTGCTGTTGTTTCACAAACAGAATTGGAGTATTGTTATTGGACATTAAATAATTAAAATAATTAATTTATATCCATTAATATTAAATAAAATTTGAAAAAATTCAATATGTGCCAAAGTGTACACAGTTTTCCACGTACGTTCTTTGTACATTTGTGTTCTCCATGATTGTAGCAGTTCATATACCTTTGATGAATATGTTAGAAGTATTAATTAAAACCTTCAGTTCTGTTCTTATATAGAAGTCTTTCAGTAATTAATCTGAAGGTGTTTTTAACTTCATTAACACAAATTCACAATTTTTTAAAGTTTGTATTTATCATTGGACTGCAGAATTTGGAAATCATGGACCAAACTAATTTTTAATAATACTGTCACTTAATATGCTGTGTGTTCCCATCCAATGAAATTGCCAAGAACACATTGAAATGTTTTTTTTTCTTGTAAGTTGTAACAACAATTATTGTTTCATTTTTGTTCTAGAAACTATGTCAGGTTTGTAAAGTTAAACTTTACTTATCCCAGTCTGGATTATCTAAAATCATGTTTTTTGTTTTTTCTTACCAGAATTTATTTGATACTTCACATTAATATAATCATTCTCTGTCTGAAATAGCCAGTACCATTGGCCACAATAATTATTACAGGTTTTACCAGTAGCAACATTTGAATGCAAAGATGCTTTAAAAATGCTGTTAACCTTTATTGTGCCAAACCTAAATCCTTCCTATAGGGATTGATGGACCAGTATAAGTGATAATATTCAAATAAATCTTATGTCCCTATTCTGAAAATGTCAATTTCTCAGAAACTATCTGTGATAAAAATCTAAAATGGGTATGCATGTTTTGGAGTATCTAAACCCTCCCCATGGAGGTTCTCTACTACTATGCCAGTTCTAGTCAAAGTAGATCTATTGGAGTGGAAATATATAAAGAACAAACAAACAAGCAAATAAGGGGACACACACTTTTCTTTATAGAAACATAAGCAGTATAGTGATGTCAGGAGCTCAGAATATAAATCATTGAATAGTAGGATGCCTGGTGAATAATTACTGAAAAGGATGTAGAAAGAAGTGGTCATGGTCTAATTTGTGGTACTATCCTGGCATTTGCCTGGAGGGCGTGAAGAAAACTACAAACAACCTCAGTCAGAATGGTCACTGTCCCATTGAGGTACAAATGAATCGCCTCCAAAATACAGGCCAGAAACTTTATGGCTTTAGTGAGTTTGCTCTATGCAATGCAGTAGTAACTTCCATGGTTTTCTTTTTTTGATGTTTACTCAAGTATGTTCATGGTCTGTATAGTGACAGTGTTTATAGCTCATAGTATAGAGCGTTGATTGGTAGGGTGGTTCCTGAATGATTACTGAGAAGGATGAGGAAGGAAACGGCTGTGATCTAATTTTAACTACTCTCCTGGCATTTGCCTAGAAGGACCGAGTAAACTACAGACTGCCTGGGTTAGGATAGTCACTGTCCTGTCGAAATTCAATCTGAGCACCTCTCAAATAAAATTTTGAAATGTTATAGTTCCAATTAGTCTTCTCTGTGGGCTGCATAGTAGTAGGTATACAAATATTTCTTTGTTTCCAAACCATGGCCATCATGTAACTCTTATTCCAAAAGGGATCCAGATAATATCATCCATGGCTCATTTCCTTTTCCTCTACCTCTATTTAACCAGTCATTTTCCCAGCTTTCCTCTAATCTGCCCTGAAGAGGGAGGCTGTGTTATGCAGAAACATTTGTACCTGCCTACCATAGTACATGGTGTCATGGCCCCAGGGACTACCATATTCATGTTGGTGAAATCTTCAAAACTCTAGGAGTATTCCAGATATTCTGATAAATCATGTCCCTTCTCTATGATTAAGGGCAAAAGCGAGCACATATTGGGTACTGTCATGTTAGGTAGTGGGTAAGGTCCTTGACATTGGTGTCCTAATACTGGTGATATTACCTGATTGTCTCATCCATTTATATTTGGAGGACTGTTGTGAAAACAGCAAAAAAAACCCGCATTGAACTTGAGCCTTTGTTGACCTCAGTTCTTGTACCACAGAGCCCTCTATAAAAGACGTGGAGATCTCTGATATGTTATTTTCTAGGCCCTTCCCACCTTGTCTTGGAAATCCTACCATTAAAATGCAAGTAAAACAAGCATGGAAATCTTCATGTGAAGTCTTCATCATATGATGCAATGACAACAATTCAGTAACGAAAAACTCATTGAGCTATGGGTGTAACATAAATCATATATATGTTTTTTTATACTTCATATCCATAAACATGCCTGTGACATAGAATACCTGCATGTTAGTGATCATTGACCTCCTTCCCATTTATAAGTAATTATCTTGTAGCTGTCTTGTGAATCCTTTGTGTCAGACCACTTGCAGGCACCTTGAAAGTTTCTTATATTAAAAAAAAAAATATTCAGTGATGCAGTCTAAGCCATGATCCACCCACAGGTATTTCTGAAAGTTAGTTGTATCACAAAGGGATATATGGAGTGTAGTGGCAGAATGATATTAGCATGCCATCATGGGGTACACTGGGCATCAGAAGCATTCTTGTAATGCAGTAGAGGTTACTTTGGGACAATAAAGGTTAACGTACAGTTTTGTGTAAAAAAGTATACTTAACTCTAATGTGAGACCATAATCAGCAACGTTTAAATCATTATATGTCAAGATTGCAATGCTAAATAATTAACATAATTTATTTATGGCACGGGGCTACTAATGGGATATGTAATAGATCATTACTAGCTGTGGTGCAAGGGTGATTAGGAGCCCACATTTTTCTATTTTAATTATTATTCTAATACACTATGTATTACAGTTTATGGTACAAAAGCACTACAAAATTTAGAGTCAAGTTAATATTTTCATTCAGAATTACTGGATTTTTGGCCTTTGTCTGTCATTCAGTATTCTAAAAACTAGAGAATACAACGTTTCAGAAACTGAATCTGTTTCCATTCTCAGGTGAGGGGTGGGGGAGGCATTCCATTGGGTCCATTAGAAAGAGCTAACCTCATTCACTGGATACCAGAGGATGAATAAAATCCAGAAACCCAGTAAATCTGAGTGTTATATACCATTGTCAGAACACTTCAGAATTTAATATTTGCATTATTGAAGGACTGCCTGGAAGATTGCTGTAACCAACATTTCACCTTTGTATGACTTAGAATGCTCTTCCAGGTGGTCAAACAGATTTTGAATGCTATTTAAAGCCTAGCTGCTTGGTAAAGTGTATCAGATCAATTGAGGTTGAGCATTTGGCTACCACATCCTGCTGAACTGCCTCAAATGACTTTATTCTTAATTCTACTTTTTCGGTAACATTCAAAGTCTGTTATGTAATTATTTTTACTGTTGGCAATGAATATCAACAGAGTTTTTCTTTTTTGAAACAAGACAGAACAGAATATAAATTATGAAATTAGTCTTTTTCAATCTCCATCCTATTTTAGTGTTCCTAATGTTGTCAGCCTTGTCATTAATTTCACCCTGTATCACACATTTGGCTGGCTACTATAGCTGTTATAAATTTTGAGTTGCTAGCACAAGCATATTTCGGTGCACAACAAGCCATTCAACATCATTCTGCACATTTTCCTCACTCATTCCTCAGCACTATTGGGATTAGGCTAAACATTGTTGGCAAGTAAAGTAAAAAAAAAGTAAAGCTATCCCCGTACCACTCCATGAAGGCCCATAGGGTTGTGAGACATTGAGGGTCCCACATTGTCTAGACAGTCGGCTCAAAGGTGGCAGTAAGATTGTCAGCCCTACGCGCTGGCCGCGCTTTACTCCCCAGGAAAATTAATTAATTCCTGGTACTCATTTCTGTTAGAGGCTGAGTAAACCTCAGGGCCTAGTGCGACTGGAAGGATTAGGTGAACTAAAATCCAATGACCTCATCGGGACCTGAACCCACGACCTTCCAGCTTGTAGCAAGGTTAAGCTTTATTCTCACGTCACAGTTGGAAGCAAAATCAAATAATTTGCTAATGGCCCAATTCTTTAGACGCTATTATATGTCTCTTGGAACTGTTTCCAGTCACATAAAAGCAGGAAAATTTAAAGTTTCTCTACGTTAACTACTCTTTATAAGTGAAATAAAAGAGTTAGTTTCTTGAGTATGTGTGCTCTTGACACAAGAATATAATTCAGTCATATTCAGTATCAATAAATCTTCCACTTTCTTATGAACTTATGACTGCTTTTAGCAATATGAGATATATGTTATTGATGTTAGTAGTATATAAAGTGTGGAGGCTTGTCCTCATTTTGTATATAAATGTTCATATATATATGGTGTGTGATCCATTTTGTGGAATTTTACTGCTGACCTACAAATTGCTCTGTAAACTACAAAACCACGGTATCTTTAGATGTCCAGGAAATGCGTTTCTCAGAATGAGTACATGTAGCATTCCTTAGTGGATATTATATCTCACTACATGATCAGAATACTGACGAAATATCAAACATGAATATACTTGATCTGGAAATTACTTATGTTAGGCGATTTTAATTGTAATGGCTGAATTGAGTGGGATTTTTTTTTTCTATTCAGCAGTTTTTGGCAGTGCAAGATATGCTGATTGTGAAGTACAACATAAATAATACTCAGGGTTCAGAAATTTATAGATAATAATTTTAATTACCTCAGTGAAACCATCTGCAGTAAAATTAACGTTGATCTTTTCTCAGACAACAAAGATATCCAACAGAAAAATGAGGTTAGACATGTGTTAGTGGCAAAGCTGTATTCAGAAATGATTGAGATCTTTGAGAAACACTAAATCACTAAGTTACTTAAAAATCTATGGAAGAGCGAATCAGACCATATTTTATTCAGGATGAGATTGATTTCATCCTCACACTATATTTATATCAAAATGATAAAACAACAAGCATGTCTATAGGTTT